CCCCAAAACCCCAAAACCCCAAAACCCCAAAACCCCTGCTGAAATTATAAAATTGAACTGCTATTTTATATTCTTTAATGCCTTGGTGTACTTCTTTTGAATTTCATTTTTAACATTTTGGTACCTTTTCTTGATGATGTCTAGTTCTTTACTCATTTCTATTTTTAGGTTCTCTCTTAAAATATTCTTTTTATATCGTAGAGCTTCTAGTTCTTTATTTTTGCTGCACTTGCATTGTTTGAATTCTTTTGTTGACTTTCTTTGCAACTTCTTTATTATGCTTTGATTTTTCAGCTTTCTTCAGGTTCTTTATTTTCTTCATCTTATTTCAGCTCTTTCAAATTTGGAGAAATCTTATCTCCTTGGGTTAGTCTGGAAATAGAAAATGCTTCTTTAACAAAACTAGATTTCATTGCTTCTTTCTGTCTTTCCAGATTTAAAAGATTAGCAGAGGGTCTGAATTTAAATGCAGCATCAGTTTTTGATTTTTCTTTGAACTCTTCAATCTCATTTTCATGCCTTTTCTGTGCTTCTAGCTCAATCAACAGTCGCTCATTCTCGAACTCAGGAATAATGACTTTCTCCCATCTATGTATGACTAGGTTGACTTACCTGTGTAGGAACTCCTGGACTTCTTTCTGATGGGCATCTTCACACATCTCTAGATCCTCTTTCATCTTAGACTTTGTAGAAATTCGTTCCTTATTTAGATTCTTCTTTGATCGCTTTAATAAATTAATGACTCAAGAGATGTTTTCGATATAGCAAATAATGCTTATACTTGTATTCTCTCAACTTACGCTTTGAGAGGAGTCTTACAGAATAATAACATAATATAAATGCTAGTTTAGAACAATTAGCTTAGAGACGTAGCTATTACAATAATTTCAGAACTCACGAACTTGTGAATTCATATAATCTAATCTCTCTTAACCCTCTACTTTTAATCTAAAAATGTGTGTTGGCAAATTATCAACTTGGAATTATGCGAAGTTTGGTCTCACTTGGATAAAATTTAAAGGCTGAACTTTCAGCTTCATTTTAGGACTAAAAATCTTAATTTGAGATATTTTCAATTAAACTAATAATTCAAGGTTCTTTGCTGCTGTCATACCTTTTCTCAGTTTATTTATTCTATAAAAAACGATGACTACTGAGGAAGATCAAAAATATATACAAACCCACAACCAATATGGTCGATATGAAATGTTTTTGATTCGTTAAGAAGAAAATGATATCATATTTTCAAAATTCATCCTTAATTATTAAGAAAGAACTGAAGGTATTAAAACGAGGAGAGGAACTTACATTGAAATCTTCTTGTCATCACTTGAGATTTTAAGGAATTTTATAATAGGTGCTCCATTCTCCTTGAGGTCAAGACCTTTGAAAGGATTGTCTTCCATTTTAATAAAAATATTAATTTTTGGGGTTTTGGGGTTTTGGGGTTTTGGGGTTTTGGGG